CTTCATTGGACTCTCCGAGTCGTTCATACAACTCGTCGAGTCTCTTCAGTCATTTCTTCATACAGACGATTTTAATCCATGCTAAGGCTCCAAATTGTAGATCCAGCTTCCCAATGCACGTTTATCACGTAAAGTTGCAAACTTTACGTGCATGCAAGGCTTTAATGACTCATAATGCCAAACTAAACTTGAAATGGAGTTTAACTCAAAGGAAGGGTTCATGCTTGCCAAAGCTGGAGACTTTATGGCTCTAGAGTCCAAGATGAGCTCAGATCTGAAGTTGCAACTTCAGAACTTATCCCATACCCAAAAAATGAATATCACCCATGCTATAAAAGCCCTAATCTTGAACATGAAGAGATCTAGAAAGAACAAGGTCAATGTAACAACTTGTTACCTTCAGACTGATGCCACTGAGCAGAGAGATCGAATCCACCAGCTCCTCTATGAACAAATCTTCTTAAACTCCAAGCCTTCTTCTTGCAATTGCTTCAAAACACACTTTCCCTTCTTCACACACTCAAAATGGGGGTTTGGATCGGTTAAGGCTGCCTCTGGACGTCAAGGGGTGATAAGGGGGGCTGAGGTGAGGAATTAAGGTCCTTTAAATAGGGTGCAAACCCTAAAATTAGGGTTTTTTCTTCCCAGCACCAACTCGTCGAGTCCAGCCGCCGACTCGGCGAGTTGGTCACTTAACACGTGACCAAAACCCGCTCCGACTCGACGAGTTAAGACACCTACTCGTCGAGTCTACTCCTTTATTTACACATAGCACCCCGAACTTATATCCTTGAACTTGGGATGTTACAATATTGAGTTTTAGGAATTGAGTGTTGGGAGTTTGTGGATCTTGTGAACTCGAAGTTGTATTGAGAATTGTAGTAATTGTGAAAATTGGAAAAATGGCTTTGATATTGCAGGTATTACAGATATTGAGTTTGGGGAACCGAGTGTTGGGAGTATGTGGATCTTGTGAACCCAAAATGTGACTTGTCTTTCGGTTTGTACCCGTACTTTTAGATTTAACACATATTAGAACCATTCAGTATAAAATGGGAGGATGAATGAAAAAGTGAGGAAGGTTGTGGTGTGATAAAATGAGAAGATGAATATGATATTATGTTTTTAATATAAAAGCAAAACGAAAGTAATAGTTAGGAGGGGTTTGAAAAATTGGATTGTTGCCCAACGCTTACAAAGCAAGCTAAGTAAGGGGAAGCTGCAAAGGCTCGATATTGGGACCACCATCCCGGCGGTACCGTGCTTCCCGTACCAACTTTCCCGTGTCCCCGCATTGACATTGTCTCCTCTTAGATAAGGAGTGATTGACAAGTTAATTCTTTTGGAAGACCATTACAGATTAAGCACCACATTTGTTCATCCACTAAATTTTGTTCGAAAAATTAACTTGCATATATCGAGTAAGTTACTTACTTCGGAAATTTAACACAATCAATGGAAATTCTAAAAAAAATAAGGGTGAAAAGTCGAAAAAAGTTAACAACAAACATTCAAATTAAATATCAGTTATATTCAGTTAATAGCTTATCGTTCATCTATTATGGACGTATTCGGCAAAAACAGCTGGTAGCGGGTAGCTTCTAGCTTGTAGCGTTTTTGTTAAGCGCTACATGAAGTAACATTTGAATTTGGAGCGTTTTGTTTAAATTAAACGCTAGAAGCTTGTAGTGACGAACGGAACTTTCTGTTCAAAATGGAGTGTTTTGTCAAACGCTAGAAGTTAGAAGTTTTCAAACGCTCTCAAACGTTCAGTGTCGAACACGTCCTATATCGAATAAAGTTATTCTACAATCACAAAACGTCTTTTGACTTTTGACTGATGCTATTACCTTTTGATAAGAAAAAGTAAACGTGTGAGTGGGATGAAATTGCATGAACAGTTTCATTATAGGACATTTTCAGTAAAAACTAAATGTGAAGGATTAAAAATGAAAAATGGAACATATAACATTTTACGTGATTCACACCTTCATTTTAGTCGGTGCCCAGATGCAGAGTTGACATTTGCTTGGTTCAAGGGGCAGCTGCTACGGGGCTTAAATCGAGCATAATCTTGGATCTTGTGTTCTTCCTCTTCTCTTACACAAATCTCAGCCATGGCTACGATCGCCTAAGATTTACAGAATTCCCCTTTAAGCTGAACTTATTTCTAGAGATAGAAGCACTCTACTCATCAATTTCATTCCCGATATTAGTGGCAGATCCGTTTCGCCAAAAATTTCATTCATTCTAACGGAAAAACAATCTAGAGAGAGAACTGTGTGTGAGAGAGAAGGGGATTCGCATTACTGAGAGTATTGCCATTGACAAGGGTAGAAAATGGGGTGCTCTTTCTCGGGACTCAACGCCTTATACGATTCTACTGCTGGCGATGTTTGGATCAACGAAAATCGCTTCAAAGTTATCCGGCAGCTCGGTGAAGGTGGATTTGCCTTTGTGTATCTAGTTAAGGAAGTTGTTAATGACACTTCCGATGGTGGTGTCTCTAAGAAATTCAAAGATCCCTCTCACGTCTCTGGTATGATCATAGATCCCCAATTGATACTTCCGTTTATGTTTTCTACAATCTGCCCATTGCGATTCTGTGGTTTCTTAATCATAGATTCATATAATCAAGTAAAATGTGGCGATTTAATTGTTAAGCAGGGAAAATGTGGGGATATCATGAGATTTAATTGTGACTTGTGAGCTTGTAAAGGAAATGATTTTTACCTGCAGATGATGGAACTTATGCTATGAAGAAAGTCCTGATTCAGAATAATGAGCAGTTGCAGTTCGTGAAAGAGGAGATCCGTATCTCGTCCTTGTTTAACCACCCAAATCTGCTTCCCTTACTCGATCACGCCATTATTTCAGTAAAGGTATATGCGGATCACATCTCAGATCTTACATTACACTAAATCTCTTACTTCCGAACAATATCATAATCTCCATTATCATTGATCATACATAATTTGTTAAAAGATTGCAATAAAGAAAGAGATGGGAAGTAAAATTTGTTGAACTAGAGTAGATTTAGCTTAAGGGGTTTACTTTGTGTACTTGGCTAGGGCACACCAGAACAGAATTGGACACATGAAGCATACCTGCTATTTCCAGTCCATATGGATGGGACATTGCTGGACAATGCAAAAACCATGAAATTCAAGAAGGAGTTCTTTTCCACCTCTGATGTTCTCCAAATTTTTCGTCAGGTAACTCAAGATCTTTATACATTAAGACCCAATACTATCTATTTGGTATGTTTCCCCAAAAGGGTTATTCTTCCAGCAACCCCTGAGCTATCCCACACTGCCCTGTCCCAAAGGCTATCATGTCAGATGTAAATCAAGTATGCAGTGTGAAAAAAAAAATTGGGTTGCAGCTTTGTGCAGGACTTGAGCATATGCATAGTCTTGAAACTCCATATGCACATAATGATGTGAAACCTGGAAATGTCCTTCTAACACATCGTAAAGGGAAGCCACCATTGGCTGTTTTGATGGATTTTGGAAGTGCTCGTCCTGCTAGAAAGCAGATCCGATCTCGATCAGAGGCCCTCCAGCTGCAGGTTCTTTATATTTACCTATTTTACCCCTCTTCTTTCATGTTTTTGGAAGTATTTGAAATTTTGAATTATGATCTGTTTGATATGTTTGTTAGGAATGGGCAGCTGAACATGTTTCAGCACCTTTTAGATCTCCTGAATTGTGGGATTGCCCGAGTCAAGCAGACATTGATGAAAGGACTGATGTATGGTCTTTGGGTTGCACTCTGTATGCTATAATGTAAGTCTGAGTTAAGCCCTGTTTCTTTTTCTCCTTTAATCTATTAAGTCGTTGTTTCTTTTATATAATATGATATATATATGGAACAGGTATGGTGTTTCTCCATTTGAGTATGCACTAGGGGAGTCGGGAGGAAGCTTGCAGTTGGCTGTGATGAATGCACAGATCAAATGGCCAACAACAACACTTAATCCTAAACAATCATATCCGGATGCCCTTCATCAATTTGTGTCATGGATGCTGCAGCCTCAAGCCACAGTTCGACCTCGCATAAATGACATTGTCATCCATGTTGATAAGTTGATTGCAAAATTCTCCCATTAAATTAAAACCTTATACTACACTTTTCACTTTTATAGTTACCAGGGTTGGGTTGGGTTTCTACTTTCTAGTTTAATGTTTGCTACAGATATTATATATGTCTACTCCCCATCTAAATCTTCTTACCTCAATCTTGCTACCTGTGAAAGTAGGTGTGCAGGTGTAGAAAGGGTGTTGGCTGTTGATGATGTATCATTTTGACTAGATTTATTTATCTTCACTTTTTGTAATATTTATTTATGGGATCTTGTAAAACATATTCAGGTGGTATCATTGAAAATTAAGTAATCAATAATTACATATTATAACAATTTTAATAAAATAGTATAACGATCATAAATGTGATCGTGATTTTATCATTAAAATGTTTGAAAACATTCGATATTTTTGGAGTAAAGAATCAATGCTAAGCCTGAAAATCATACTATTTTTCATGTCATTTTTGTTCCCTGTGGGAAGACGGAGATATTTTATGTTATGGATGTCTAATCTGTCTAAAAGACATGACTATCTTTCTAAAACCTTGTCGAATCCTGTCCCAAAAAGAAAAACAAGTCCAAATGACCATGTAAATAACAAAACCACAAGTAGTCGCTCAAATCTTGCATAATATAAATATAGTCCAAATGACCCTCCCTGCATGATGTATATAATGTACAAAAAATATCATATATATATATATATATATATATATATATATATATATATATATATATACACTACAAATCTCCATCATCTTTGATCCAGATTTCAATTCAAATACAAAACCTACCAATCAAACAATCATATAATTAATTCACACAAAGACACATTACCAATCTGTACAATTTACACCCTAACAATTAACACAACTCCAAAATCATATCTCACCTTTTTCCATGATTCCATCCATTACTGATCACCGACACCCCTTTCAGCCTTCCTACGTTCATACTCGGGATCATCAGTCAGCAACTCATGACGACAAACAGGACATGTATTCCGGATGCACAACCATGGAAGAATGCAATCGCCATGGTAACGATGGCCACAGGGGAGCTGCTTTGCCATTACCCCAACACCAATTTCATCTTTACAAACTGCACACCGAATGTTATTCTTTTCAAAATCTTCATCGGTTATCACCACCGATAAAAGATTCTTCACCACCGTCATGGAAGCAGGTGGCCGGCCAAAAGAAGATGGGTCTATAAACATCTCGTACTCTGTGTAATTCGATTCATCATCATAGGTACCTGGTTCTAAATCTGGATTGTGGACATTCAACAAAACTTCCCACTGATGCGGCTGTTCTTCCTCTGATTCATGGCTATCGGGATGAGTTCTTGGTAGATCAGATGTGTCATCGTCGGGTTCTGATTCGAACATCATATTCAGTACTTCCCGGTCGTCGATCCGGCCATCTACTTCCTCCCATTCGAAATCTTCATTTGGATTGGTTTCACCTCTTTCGTTATCATCTTCTAGCTGAAAATCTTCTAACCGAAGGTTAGATTCGTTGATCCCGATATCAAGCGCGTTTCCCCCGTCGACATAGGAATCCGACCCCAAATCAGGCACCATGAAATGTTCCGGACCACCTGAACGACTAGACGGATCTCCCGTTGTTCTCCTGGGTACGATGAAATCATCACCACAATCGCCAAGCATAAACCCTAAATTATCGTCACCATCATTACGATTATCATCAACTTCAACAGGAAAATCTAACCCTAACCCAAACTCCAGCTCCAAATCGTTCGCATCCATCTCCTCATTCCCTTGCCGAGTACTCCGATCAGGATTACAGAACCCGTTCCCTATAGCCAAATGCGATTGCGACTGCGACTGTTCAACTCGCTGATGAAACATGTCGATTACGAAATTCACCTGGTATTCTCTGTCGAACAGCACCGAATCGTTGTTTCGATCGGTGTGGCAAAAGAAATCGTCGAAGGAAGGACAATCTAGATCCGAAGGGTAAACATCGAAAGCATCGACACCGTGAGACCAGTTATTGTGGGAAGAAAAAGATACCACGACCTCGTCCCTGTCGTTGTATTCACCATCTTCATCATCATTTTCATGAAGATGGAGGTAGGAAACCTCCGCCATGATCGAGGTTGAAGGGGAGATCGAAAAAGGGCTTCTGAAATGAAATGATGAAATGAATAACAAATTGCGTGCAAATAGGAATTTTGTTGGTTGCTGTCGTAACGTAGAAGTTGCTGGACAGCATATTTCCCGACTCTGGACACTGTTTGTTCATTGTTCAGTCACTCGCCGTACCTTACCTTTTCCTTTTCCTTTTTTTTTTTTTTTTTTTTTTTTTTTAATCATATTAATTTAGGGGGTGTTTGCTTTTTATAAAAATCTCTTCGGTCTATTCTTAGCTATATGCACTTGATATTATGGGGTTGTTTGTTTTTCTAAAAGGCTTATAACTTAGAAACTTTTGTTTGTGTTATGTATCATATAATATTGGACTTTCCTTATCAAACCACTTCTAAACTTTGAAAAACAAAGAACGGACATTAGGTAGCATATGCCGCTCCCATCCTTCTTCCTTCTCCCATATGTCGCCGTCCCATCTGATTTCGTCGCAACCATGATTTATGATCGCAACCTCATAACGTTGTCACCTCGCCTGCCTCATCACTTCTCTGTCACCTCCCTCAACCCTGATTTCTCGTCGCACCACTACCGTTAACGTATGGCCCATTAGCATGTCCCAAACGTTAAGACTTGGCGCGCCAGCCTCTCCTAGCGCTTGCTTGCCAGTCTTGTCTAGCGCCCACGCCCGCACTCGCCTAGCCCACGCGCCCGACACTCGACGGTCTTTCCCGACTCCTTGCTAGCTGGGCCTGAGTTGGGCTAGCCCAAAACCTGACCTAATTCCTCTTGACCTAATTGTCCCCTATAAATAGAATATGTCCTCCTTGAGGAGACATCTTGAGTCAGCCCCAGATCAGCCTCCATAGACAAACACACACCTAACACCAAGATGGTTCTCTCCAGCTAGGGAGAACCATCTCATCTCTACCAACCGATCTAACTTGATCGTCGGAGCTTGCTCCCAGGGCAACTCTAACGACTTTGCTGTGACTCCAGCTTAGGTATCTCGCCGGAAACTCGCTAACGACACCGCTTCTAGATCTCTGATCCGGATACAACATAGAAGACCCGACAGCCTGAGCACATGTCGCAACATTTGGCGCCATCCGTGAGACTCGAACCCATAAATCACTAACATCGACATGTACTTTTCTTCTAACATATCATGAAATAGTTTTTTGTTATGCTGATTTTCTGAAATCGATTGTTGATTTGCAAATGTCATAGAGTGTAGTACTTTCTCTCCTTCAAACTTTCAAACTTTATAACTAGCACGGAACAATCTTTATGATGATAATCTGCTTAAAATAGAGGGAAAACGTTAGTACATTATCTCCTTCAAACTTATAAACACTAATTTTATAGTTATTAGTTATGAAAGAGTTTAGTCTTTATCTGTAGGGCATTATTCCATAATCATTGATCATGAATCCGAGGTATATTGATGATACACAAGGGGCATTCTGGTATCTTCTTTACCCAATAATTTTCAAAAAGTGATGTATCTCCCACCTTGAAAAGATAAATGAATGAAAGATTGCACCCCTTTTGAAGAGGCGTCACAACCAATATAAACATGGTTAAGAAAACTGAAAATCTATTTAGATATAACTGCAAACATCTAATTGTGTCTTTGTTAACACGTTGTCGCGGACGTCTTAAGCAAATAAAATATCACTGCTTCGTTGCACTTTTGGGTAGCACATGAAAGCAGGGTCGAATCCTCAGGGACACAACCTAATGGTCAATGCCTCTTTGCGTAAGGCACATACTAGTCAAAAACAGATAAATATAAAATAGGGGTTTTGATTAATAATTAAAAACTAAATAGCAATGAAAATAACTAAATGAAATTCAGTAATAAAAACGAATTCAGTTCTGCTGTGACTTTCCTAATCATGCAATCAACACAAACTTGGTTATTTATAATGCGTTCTATCTAAGCTGGAAACCACTAACAAGCTCTAGTAATTTCTTTTTTACCTAATTAATTAACCAAAACAAGCTCTTCAGTTAACCACATTTTTTCACTAATCTAATTAAACAAACTCTTAATTAAATTCAGAAAAACAACATTATGATCTGTGTAAAATTCCCAACAATATTCAATACTTCTCACAAGCTCATAAGCATAAAAATATGAAATTTCAATTTATATCAGAATTCGTCCCCAACACGGAACCAATATGAAATTTGTTACTTATTACCAGTTTATTAGAACAATTACGGATTCCAACAATTGATTAACTAGAATGATTAAACCATAAATTAGGTGATCAGGCTAAAAAGAATCAAAATCAAACATTCGTTAACCACAAAACTGAAAAATCTAGATAGAATCACATATCAAAAACCATATCTAATGTTGATTACATAAAAAGTATTAATCTGTGCAGAACTGAAATCTAGGGTTTAGCCAGACATGGCTAAAATCTGATCTAAATTAATAAAAAGAGACATTAAACTACTAAATCTTACTAATCTAACTGATTGAGATGATCCACAGCCTTCAGATCTTTAGAAAGTAATGAAAAAGTGCAGAAAATCGCCTTTAGAAGTCGTTTTCGTCGTTTGGGAACGTCTAGGGTTCTAACTTATCAGAGAGGCAATATTTATACGCAAGCCAACAACATCCAAAATCAAAATTAAGAAAACACGATCGTGTGTGACATCCCCAAATTCACGATCATTTAAAAATTTTATTTATGTTTATTTGAAAATCAAAGTGTTCATTTTTAAAGAATAATATTGCGGGATTTGTTCCCAGAAAACATGATATATATATATATATATATATATATATATATATATATATATATATATATATATATATATATATATATATATATATATATATATATATATATATATATATTATCAAAGCATTTCCGAAGAAATGTATTTTGTTTATATTAAATCTTTGGGATGTCATCGTCAATACAGAAACATAAGCATAAACAGACCTTACATTCATTTACACTAGTGATTTACATCTCCTTTAATCTCTTAGTGTAATGTAGCTTTGTATCGACACCTGCGATACAAATAAACTGAGTGGGTCATGTTGGAAAACCTGGTGAGTACATAGGGTTTTCAACCCACAATAATAAAGTTATTATGTTTCATCATCAAACAATTAACCCAATTACCAATCCCCATTAGCTTCTTTATTTCTTAAGGATCTACCCTAAGAATCATATATCATTCACTCATTTATTCCTAAGGATTGTCCTAAGGAATAAGCACGAAGTCCATCGCTGCCAGGGTTTATATAACAAGCACTAAGTCCATAGCGACCGATGTTATTTGTTAGGCACTAGGTCTATAACTGTCATTATCCATTTATAGGGTACTAAATCCATATCTGCCAACGTTCATTTGTAAGGAACTAAGTCCATAGCTGCCAATGTTCATTTGTAAGACACTAAGTCCATAGCTGCAGGGGTTTGTCTATTTGGCACTAAGTCCATAGCTGCCAGAGTTTATCTATCAGACACTAAGTCCATAGCTGCCAGGGTTTATCTATCAGACATTAAATCCATAGCTGCCAATGTTCATCTATTTCATATTTCATCTCTCATCATTCATATCATCTTTCATCTTTCATCTCATCTTTCATCTACCCATCTTTACCCATCATAATTATAGGTACAAAATACGTATATAGTTTAAATCGAATAAAACATGTATGTTTTGTTCATCCAACATAGATATCAAGAACACATATAATATACACACATAACACGTAATTTATATTAAATACTTCATACCTATGTCTAAGATGAAAGTAACTATGCACTCACTTATTAAAGTGATGATTCCAAACTCGGGCAGCGCTTCGCTTCTAACAATTCTATTTCCCTTCGACGAAACCTAGTATCATTACCGCTAGATTTTAGTCTAATATTTATAGCAACTATTTACAAGCGATATTGTTTTATAAGTGTTAAACAATACTTTTCAACCACTGTGTACAGACAGGGGCCAGACATGAAACCTCGGAGGGCAGGACCATTTTGGCATTATAACATTCCTGAAATCCAACAACTCTATGCGGCCCTTCAAACCAGATTCCCCGTACCGCGAGTAGTTAAAAGATATTATAATAACACTTTGTATATTATATTTTATAATATATTTATTGTTTATAAGTTCATAATAACGATATTGAACTTAAACAGAAGCTATACTTAAATTAGGGTAAACATAACTCACTTACTAGGAGGTTTGACTAGGAACCGGGCTCTACAGGGGCAAAACTTCCAAGCCGAAAAGCTCTTCTTCTCGGAGCCTTCTGGCTCTCCGGGACTCGCCTCTTAGCACTTGGGAAGTACTAAGGGATAGGAGAGGTTTAGAGAGAGACAGAGAGAGAGAGAGAGAAGTGTTAAGGTGTGAAGGAAAGTGTTGAACCTCGCATGGTATTTATAAGGTGCTGATCCTCAGTATGTTGGCCGTTCTTCGGTACGCAGGGTGTACGAGCGTACACTGCGTGTGCGAGGGGGCATGAGACGAACTTTGGATGGGGCGACGTGGAAGCTTCTTGGCCGTGTATGCGAGACCGCGGGGCGTACAGGTTATCAACATAAAGTTGGTGAGTCCACAGGTTTTGATTCTGAGTAAAAATAGTACTTTTTCCAAGTTGAAAAAGTATAAAACATAGTTTGAAAGTGTCTCTCTGACTCATACTTGTTTCCAACATATTATATATATCCTAGGTATAATTGTTTACTTACTGAATAAGTGATATACCTATAATTTCCATATATTGTGAGTATAAGTGTTTGTAATCCTATACAAATGAAGGTCGCTATGTATAAATCTTATTTCAATTCTATACGAGTGTGTGTGCTAGGTATAATTGTTTACTTAATGAATAAGTACTATACCTACAAGTTTCTTGTACTTAGAGTATAAGTGTTTGGGAAACTTATACTTAACATTAATACTTGTATATCGACAAAGTATAACGTTTCTAGAGTAAAATTGTGCTACCATGAGTC